ACATAGAATTCAAAAGAACAATTATAAACATGATAAAAGAATTCAGTGAATTTAAAGAACACACAAACAAAGAAATCAAAGAACTGAAAGAAGACAGGGATAAACTTCTGAATGAATTCAGAAAAGAGTTAGAAATAATGAAGAATACTCAGGCTGAAATGAAGAAGGAAGTGAAACATTCAATAAGCCAATTAGAAATGACAGGAGAAAGCCTTACCAATAGGATGAATGAAATGGAAAATAAAATATCAGGACTGGAAGATAAAGTGTATGAACTAGACCACTCAAGCAAAGATTATGAAAAGTTTAAGAAAACACAAGAATGGAATACGCAGGAATTGTGTGACACTATAGAAAGACCAACCTTACACATCATAGGCATAGAGGGAGGAGAGGAATCTCAGGATAATGGTATGGACCAGATCTTCAACATGATTGTAGAAGAAAAGTTCCCAAAATTAAAGAAAGACCTGCCCACACAAATAAAAAAACCACACAAAACACCAAATAGGACCAGAAAAGTAACTTTCCATGGCACATCATAGTAAAAATACTAAACATACAGATCAAAGAGAGAATACTGAAGGCTGCAAAAGAAAAACAAGTCATCACATATAAAGGAAAACCCATCAGAATTACAGCTGACTTTTTAGTGCAAACTATGAAAACCAGAAGAGCCTGGACCAAAGTATTACCAGTTCTAAATGACCACAGATGCCAACCCAGATTACTTTACTCAGCCAAAATGTCTATTACAGATGAAGCGGAAAGAAAAATCTTCCATCACATAAATAGGCTAAAAGAATTCATGCCCACAAAACCAACCCTTCAGAGATTTCTTGAAGCGATATGAAGAGCTGATGAAAAGAACGACTATACTCATGGGATAACAGAAAGAAACTTAATGAAGGTGTAACAGTGGAAATGCACGGTTACACTAAGAATGTGAACAGAAATCAAAACAACAGGAATCAATACACAGTTTTCATTAATAATTTTAAATATCAATGGACTAAAATCCCCAGTCAAAAGACACAGACTAGTTGAATGGATTAAGAAACAAAACCCATCTTTTTGTTGTCTGCAAGAAACCCATCTCACTTTCAAGGACAGGCACTACCTAAAGGTGAAAAGGTGGAAAAAATATTCCAAGCAAATGGTACTAAGAAAAAAGCAGGAGTTGCAATTCTAATATCTGACAAAATAGACCTCAAACTAAAATTAATCAGAAGAGATAAAGAGGGCCACTTCATTCTGATCAAATTGACCAAGAAGATGTTACAGTCATGAACATATATTCACCAAACGCTGGTGCACCCAACTCCTTAAAAAATGTACTACAGTACTTTAAGACTCAGATTAATCCCAACTCATTAATAGTAGGGGACTTCAATACCTCATTGTCTCCATTAGGTAGGTCAACAGGACAGAGAATTAACAGAGAGACATCTGAATTAAACAATACCATACATCAAAAGGGCCTAACAGACATCTACTGAATATTCCACCCAAGCACCAAAGAATATTTTTTTCTATTCAGCGCCCCATGGAACTTTCTTCAAAATTGACCACATACTGGGGTGCAAAACAAGCCACAACAAATACAAAAAGGTTGAAATAATTCCATTCATTCTATCACACCACAGTGTAATAAAGCTTAAAATAATATTGGAAGAAATGCCTAACAGACATCTACTGAATATTCCACCCAAGCACCAAAGAATATTTTTTTCTATTCAGCGCCCCATGGAACTTTCTTCAAAATTGACCACATACTGGGGTGCAAAACAAGCCACAACAAATACAAAAAGGTTGAAATAATTCCATTCATTCTATCACACCACAGTGTAATAAAGCTTAAAATAATATTGGAAGAAATCCTAGTAACTACATGAACACACAAAGATTAAACAACACACTCCTGAATGATGAATGGCTCAAAGGAGAAATTAGGAAAGAAATAAAAGTATTCTTCAATGAAAAGGACAATACAACACAATAAAACCTCTGGGACACATTAAAAGCAGTCCTTAGATGGAAGTTTAAAGCTCTAAGTGCCCACATTAAAAAATCAGAAAGAACACAAATAAATGACTTAACCCTGCAACTCAAGACACTTGAAAAACAATAACAAATGTAAGCCAAACCCAGCAGACAAGAAGAAATAACAAAAATCAGAGCAGAAATTAATGAAATAGAAATAAAGAAAACAATACAAAGGATCAATGAATCCAAGAGCTGGTTCTGTAAAAGATAAACAAGATTGACAAACCGCTAGCCCAGTTAACCAAAAGAAAGAAAGAGCACCTCCAAGTCAACAAAATCAGAGATGAAAGGGGAAACATCATAACAGACACTAAAAAGATCCAGAACATTATAAGAGAATACTTTAAAAACCTATATGCTTCTAAATTTGAAAACCTAAAAGAAATGGATGGGTATCTAAGAGCATGGGAATCACCAAAACTAAACCAAGAAGAGATCAGCATCTTAAACAGATCCATAACACATAAGTAAATTGAAACAGTAATATAAAACCTCCTGACTAAAAAAAGCCCAGGACTAGATGGATTTATAACAGAATTCTACTGGACATTTTAAGAAGATCTATACCCAATACTACTCATTTATTCAAAAGGAAAGAAATGGAGGGAGAACTTCCAAATTCCTTCTATGAAGCTAGCATCACTCCAATACCCAAACCAGGTAAAGATACAATAAAAAAGGAAACCATAGACCCATATCCTTAATGAACACAGATGCAAAAATTCTCAACAAAATACTTGCAAACCACATGCAGACACACATCATAAAGATCACCCACCATGATCAAGTCGGCTTTATTCCAGAGATGCAGGATTGGTTTAATATATGCAAGTCAATAAACATTATAAATCATATAAATGTACTCAAAGACAAGAACTACATGGTCATCTCAATAGGTGCAGAGAAGGCCTTTGACAAAATTCAACATGTGTTGGTATTCAAAGTTGTAGAGGGAATTGGACTGGAGGAAACATACCTCAACATGATTAAAATTGTATACAACAAACCCACACCAAAATCATTGTAAATGGAGACAAACTGGAAGCATTCCCATTAAGATCAGGAATCAGACAGGCTGTCCACTATCTCCACTCCTTTTTAATGTAGTGCTTGAAATTCTTGCAAGAGCAATAAGACAAGAGAAGGAAATTAGAGGAGTAATAATTGGAAAAGAAGAGATCAAATTATCCCTTTTTGCAGATGTATGGTATTATATCTAAGAGATGACAAAATTCCACTAGAAAACTCCTAGAAATGATTAACACTTTCTGTAAATTGGAAGGTTACAAAATTAATCTACAAAGTCTATAGCCATTCTATATACCAATAACAAGCAATCAGAGAAAGAGTACATGGAAACACTCCCCTTCACAATAGCCTCAAAAAAAATCTCAGAATAAACCTGACCGAAGACATTTAAAATCTCTACAATTAAAATTTTAAACCTTTAAAGAAAGAGATTGAGGAAGACATCAGAATATGGAAGTACCTCCCATGTTCACGGATTGGAAGAATTAATATTATAAAAATGACCATCCTACCAAAAGCCATTTTTAAATTCAGTGCAATGCCAATCAAAATCCCCATGACATTGTTCACAGAATTGGAAAAAACCATCCTAAGATTCATATGGAAGCACAAAAGTCCTCAGATAGCCAAAGCAACCCTGAGCACTAAGAACAATGTTGGGGGGACTACTATACCAAATTTTAAACTGTATTACAGAGCTATAGTCATAAAAACAACATGGGTACTGGCACAAAAACAGACCTGTAGATCAATGGAATAAAATTGAAGACCCAACTATGAGTCCATGCAATTTCAGCCACCTGATATTTGGCAAAGGAGCCAAGAACATTTACTGGAGGAAAGATAGTACCTTTCATATTGTGCTAGCAAAACTGTAGAAGAATGAAACTAAACCCCTATCTTTCATGTTGCACAAAAGTCAACTCTAAATGTGTCAAAGACCTCAATTTGATGCCTGGAACTCTGAATCTCTTAGAATAAAACACTGGCAATAGCCTACAAGACACAGGTGTAGGAAAGGATTTCCTAAACTAGACATCAACTGCTCAGGAAATAAAGTCAAGCATCAACAAATGGGATCTAATTAAACTTAAAAGCTTCTGTACATCAAAAGAAGAAACCAAGGAAGTGAAGAAAAAAACCTATAGAGTGGGAGAAAATCTTCACCAGCAACATATTTGACAGAGGTTTAACATCTGTAATATATAAAGAACCCCAAAAACAAAGACTCAAGAAAAGAAGTAACCCAATTAAAAGATGGGCTAAGGAGCTGAACAGAGAGTTCTCAAAAGAAGAAATAAAGATGGCTAAGAAGCATCTTAAAAGGTGTTCAACGTCATTAGTAATTAGGGAAATGAAAGTTAAAACCACTTTAAGATTTCATCTTACCCCAATTAGACTGGCTAAGATCAAGAGAACAAATGATACCAAATATTGGAGAGGATGTGGGGAAATGTAAATGCTCATCCATTGCTGGTAGGATTCCAAACTTGTTCAACCCCTACAGAAAGCAGTGAGGAGAACCCATAAAAACTGAAAATGAACCTACCATTTGATCCAGTTATACCACTCCTTGGTATATACCACCTCAGAGCATGAATTCACCCATGGAAACCTTCCATAATAAACTTATTGAATTGCTGTGGGTCTTCCCATCCATTACAGGCGTATTCCCAGGCAATTCAAAGTCTTTATGCCATAACTCAGGGGAAGGTCAGTGATTGCATTTTTATTTAATCCCCTATGCCTATGCATGGAGCTTAAGGTTATTTCCTATGTGCAAAAGAGGAGCAGAGTCACTGGTATCTGCCAAGCATCCATTTTTTTTCCATCATAATATATACCTGCATTTCAAATTCCCCACCTGGCGTTTGCAGTACTGAATGAGCCATGAGACCAGAGGCAGGTTTCAGGGCAGAACTCACCCTTGGATCTCTCTCCAGCTGCTGCTTGTGGTATAGGCTGCGTCTTCTTTTGGCCTTTGCAAGGCCGTTGTGGTAAAAGTGGTACAGGCCTTCTGCAAAGGGGAGCTGTGGAAAGTCAAAGAGACATGAAGATGGTTAGTTAGTTTTTGGATTGGCCCCAGGACAGGGTCGCATAGTTGAGATCTATGCAGGAACTCCGTGAGTGCACAGTAACACAAGCCTCCTGTTAGACTTGGCTCTGTGCCTCATAATCTCTGTACTCTAACCCTTCTCACTATTCTTCTATTCTTCCTCTTTTAACTTTTAAATCTTTTGATTACCTCTCTTCTTCATGGAGCTCTGACTTCATCTTCATACTCACATCAAATTTTCCAATCTCTTCATTGGACAAGTTTAGCACCTGGTTGATTCAATATTGTGCTGTGACAAAGTCATTCCTTACAGCTGCATCACCTACTCTGTCTTAGCTTTCCCTGTGATTCTTCAATGCTTCTTCTCAGGCTGGGAGCAGTGCAACCATCTAAATCCAGAATGTGCCTGTAGGCCAGGCTTGGTTCCACTGTATTTTCCCAACTCAAGGATACTTGGAATCAGATGTGAGTGCCAGCGCCATATAAAGAAGCCACAGTTAGAAGAACCTGTCTTTTTCTATGATTCATGGAGGATGAACCTAGGTAACTTGGAGGAAGAACTTGGACCTGGAGGTTTGGAATCTTGGTTGAAGTCCATGTATATTAACATCTAACAGTATGGCCTTGGGTAAGTCACTGCCTCCTAGGCTTCCTTTTCTCTTCCGTATATACATGAAGATGTGGAGTTCCTAGAGCTCTGCCCTTCTCTCACATGCCTCTTTGTTGATGAAGAGATGCTGTTTGTAGTTCTTGCCCTAAATAAATAATTTAACTGAAAACTTGACTCTGCAGATTTTCCTGAAAAGAGGAAACATGGTTCTCATAATATTCTCAAAGGGAGTTCCTTAAGCAAAGTGTTTCATCATTCAAAGTATTTGCTGTTGAAATGTAGGTGTTCCCACCCAGTGCATGGAAGAAAAGGGAACATGATGTAATGCTTTGAAAGCCAGTTTTTCCAAATTAAGCAGGACCTATTTGAGAGTTTTTAGATCAAGTAAGACCTCGGCATGGCACAAACTTTTCTTAAGTAATATTATGACTATAAAAGGACTATAAAACAAATTTAGGAAACTCAGAAAACACATATACATACTCCCCAAAATTTTCAGCTCTTTTTAAAATCATTATTCATTTTTTTTTAATTTAATAACTGCATGATTAGAAGAAGCATTTCATTACAGCTTTAACTTATTTAGTAACACACTCTAGAGCAAGAGTACATCTCTTTCACAAGTGGCTGTAAGTTTCTAGGTTCACAGTTGAATTAATATAGTTATACAAATATTGAACTCAGCATAAATCCTATAAGACATAAAATTGAATGAGATTTTAACCTTTAAAAAAGATCTCCATTTCATTTTAGAATATATTGTTCCTTGCATAAAGACTCATTGTTTTTGCTACTAACACTGAGATGTTGGCACATGCATCTCTAATCTGTATGTATCTGATTATTACTAGTCATAATCGGTTGCACTTGGATCCTCGGCACCTGTCTATATGTCTATAAAGACATTGGGTAAATTTCAATGGTAATGTTTATCACCTCTACTAATTAACATGATGTAAATTTCCATGCTTCCTCTTCAAATATAGTACATTTTAAAATTTTTGTGATTTTTTTTGTGTATATCACACAGAACATCCCAAACCTTCTTATTCAACTATATACCCACTTCCCAGATGGCACCCTCCCATAGCCTCCCTCCCCCCACTAGAGCCCTTATACTCTGTTATCCCTGCTACTGTCTGCTGTGTTGTCAGCACCCCAGACATTCCCCACTATTTGTCCATCTGGTGAATCTAGTTAGCTTATCTAGAGGTCTTTGTTTTAGGAAGGCCAGCTATTCCTCATCTAGCAGCAATCAGTTGTCAATATTCCTTTAGATAAGATTGGGGTCTGCTGTTCATTTTCCCAGTTCTATGCTGGGTTACTATCTGGGAGTCACTTTGGCTACCCTGGCCAACAACTCAAAAGAAGGTATCTCCTATCTGGCATTGTTGCTTGTTATGTAGCCTTTAGCTATGCATGTGGACTCTTAAAAAACTATATTGTCCCCTTAATCTTTGGTTATACTTTCCTTTTGTGTGTTTAAGGCCATACTGTTGGCCCAGGTAAACCAATTTATTTTTACTCCTAAGGTTGTTTGAGCATCAGTTCCTCAGGGGTCACATGGGCTTTGGAGGAGCCCCTGGCTCCTTTCTTTTACCAGTTCTGCCTATGTGAAGAAAAGTCAAATGTCCTGATCCACTGTGGCTGGCTTCACTTGGAAGCATGAATGAGATGTTTCCTCTGAGTTGACCCTCCTCTTTGTAGACAGGACTCTG